CCCCCCATCGTCTCTAGTGAGCCGCCTGAAAGGTAGGCAATTTGTGCTACAAAACCCCTGTATGTAGGCAACCCACAGTGCATCGCCCCCCCTGTCGCCCCCTCCTTATACCGCGCCTGGGACACTCTCCGATTCAGAAGAACGTTCAAGAGGGACTTTCCTCCTATGCCTTCCGTATAGCTCCGTCCTTGTTGCACTCATGGGGCAGGTATAGGAGAGCCCCTCTTGAACGCTCTCCTATGGTTCAGAAGGCAGGGGGCGGGAGAGCGCCACAGCGCGAGAGCGTGGAGTCGGGACGCCCCCGGGACGCCTTTTCCCTCCCCGCTCCCTGCCCCTCGCTCTACTCTACGCTCTCACGCTGTCGCGCACTCGTGAGCGTGGCTAAACTGAACATAGCTGTAGTCCTCGGCACGTGGAGCGACGTGGAGTGAGCCTCCCCTTCTCCCCCGCCTCTCCTCTGCGATAGACTGCTGGACTGCGGCAAGATTTCGTTTCTGCAACTTCCCGTTATGATTGCAGTTTGACTGTATACTTTAACACCAAGTAGTGTGAGCAGGCTGTGGCAACATTGTCGGATAATTAGCTCTCACTTGCCCAAAATTTCCTTCCACGCTATCACCGCAGCGCGGTACTTTATTGCCTCAGCGCAAGGCGCACCACTGAAGATAGTAAAAATCATATAATTCAATCGATTCCAATGTAAGTAGTAGACTGCATTATTTTGTAAGCTCTCGCATATCTGTGGTAGAGGTCATGACACGTTGGCGTTTTGTCTCACCTGGACACTCAGCTAATCCAAGTGCAGAACTGTTCAACATTTATTAGTGCAGAACTAAAACGTTCTGCAGTTCCAAGTGCGATTTTCTGACCAGGATTAAGAACATTTTTGCTGAGGACACCAGACACCATCGTTTTCGTCTTCAAATTATCTTTCACACGATTATATATATGATAGGTTTGCGACGTAAATTGAAATGGATAGCAGTCCTCAAATGAAATTCTAGAAATTTGTATTCTTTTGCGTACCTGTTTTAATTTAAGTCCCAACCCTATCATCAACGTCAAACTGGAACTTAAATCGGCAATCTTTACCAAAATTGGACACTTTTACCGTCCGGTGGAGACAGCCACTGGGCACTATCTTAATGAGACCCTCACATTTTACAGTAAAGTAAGGTCCTGTAACGTCTATGCTTATTGAAGACAGTGTGGCAGCCATGAGGAAATGTGATAACTGAAGAAAATTTCCAAAGAAGCCCACCTCATTTTGAAATGAACTTCAACAGCGCTCCTCACTCTCACACCCGGAGGGGTATCGGACGCCAACACCACAGCTCTCTTCACAACTTAACTCATCCGATAACAACCCCCCC